TTGCAATGTCCAGCCAGACTGTCTGCAGCTAAGGCTACAGTCAGGCTGTGGCTGGTGGAAGCTAAACACTGTACTGAGTGATACTTGCATTTAAGGCCCTATTGGTACAGGGACAAATGCACTAGTGCTGGGAGGGAGGCACAGCAAGTAAACTCATCCTTATGCAAGGGGTTTTAAATTGCTGCATGTTAGTGTAGCAGTCTTACATTCCTAGTGCTGCCAGTTCAGATCTTTAGAGCTGGTTCACACCAGGTTCAGTCCAGTGCATTTTTATTCTGCATCAAAAATACATGGACAGGGTTTAACATGGATTCCAAGACCCTAGTTCACACCATTGCAATGTGTTCCAGTTCAGTCAACAAAGGTAGAACATGTTGCATTTTTCTGTATCAAACACATCTGGAATGTGGCAAAACGCATAAAAAATGCAGCGGAACAGCCAGTCCTCAATGGAGATGAAGAAAAAAGAAGGGAAAAACAAATTAGAACACATCAAATACACATAAAATTTTCACTGGGACACATCAAAAACGCGTCGGGAACACAGAATTTTGGTGTGAACCAGCCGTTAACACTTGTTGCAGCACTTAGCAGAAAAAAAGGGGCATATCCATTACTGTATATACAGCTTGAGGATTCAATTGGGCTTTAAGGCAGCAAGCATAGCCAGGGTGAAGTCAGTAATCCTTGACCTGCACTGTTGGTCCAGGTCAGTGACCCTGAAAGTACTGAAAACGTATATTATATCCAGGGAACCAGAATTTTCAGAATACATATTTCCTCTTTCTAGGTTTTTTTAAAATGAAATTTAATTGGATGTTTTTGGTTACTTCAATTTACTACTAGAGACTATTATTTATTTGTGTAGCCTGTACATATTTCTGCTTGTACTGAGCACCTTGCCATTGGCTATGAATCCATTGATGCAAAATGTTTAAATGTTTTTCAGGTTCCATAGTATGGGGTGATGTAACCTGAACAAAGAAACCTGAAAATTATAAAGAATACTTTCTCATATATTTTTCTTGTAAATCATTATTCCTATGGTATTTATGGTTTGTGAACAGTAATTTTCCAAATCTTTCAGTAAAAGTTATTTTTCAAAAGAAAGTAGTTTATCAGGACCATAATTTAGCTGCATGTAGATGCTACATATAACATACTGTATATATATTATGATTTTTATGTGACAGGTTGTTTTACCTGATTCTCAAGGGGTGCCCCTGTGCTGCCTACACCTAGATGTTCCCCCATTCTCTGCATTACATTTAAAGTATAAATGCGGAGTTGACCATTTTCATCTGTATTAGTCACACGGGATCGCGATGAGCACACTCCTGAAAATGAAAAAAAAAAACTTAAAGATTAAAAGGCAACAACCAGTTACATTTTAGCAAACAAGTCTCAGAAGTAATGTTTATAATTGTATTGGATCAAACAGCAAATGGCCTTATGTATGATTACACTTATTGTAAGAATTGTAGTTATTTTTCTTTGGCCACCAATCAGCATCATACCAGCCCTGAAATTCTGAATCTAATTGGTGGGAGGGAGTAGCTTCAGCTCTTAGAATATATTATTACATATGACAAAAAGTGCTTTTTGGTTAAAATACCTGAAATCTTATGCAATTCTCTGTGCTCTCCAGTCCATATAGAGATGCAACACAATTAGTGTAATTAAATACTAGGGACGTACAGCACCTGTGGTTATTAGAACATCATGAGCCTGAGATTCAGCGGTTTTCGGGGCATCTATAGCAGTGTGCTAAGTATTGCAAAGCTAATTTTAGGGTTTAATATTGGTGCATAAATAGGTGGTTTGCCAAAATCTATGAGTTTTAGGGGCATAATAACAGGATTGCAGCACATTAAATTATAGTCTGCTAAACTTTGTCACATACACTGCTCCATAGTACTAAACTTTGACAACAAAACAGGCAATAATGATATTACAGGTCCCTATCCCCATCCCCACCTTCACTTACCCTTACTCCAGGCTTCCAGCTACAACCTATATCTCCCCCCAGATTTCTTCTCCTCTCCAACATTGGCTTACTAGTCTGACCGCTGAGAAGTTCTACTTCAATTAACCAATCGGCTACTGAGCTAGAGTGAATTCCAGCTTTCCTAAAGACCTAATAACCAAAATGATTAGCAGGAGTCTCCAGCCGAAATCTGGAGAATTCCCAACTATGATTATGGTGGAAGTGAAACAGTGGTTTTTAGGTAGTTGATACTGGAACATGAGATCTGAAGATTCTACTAATTTTAAGACCTGTAGACATTTGAAGGCAGTCATCCAACAGTGCCAACTTCAGTTTTGTTATCCCAACTGGTGTTGGAGTTGCAACAAAGCAATTCAGTACAACAAAGAATCCAGATACAAAGTCCACTGGTTATGCTGGAGACATTCAGTGCATAACCCCAAGTCAGTAAACACATGCTGTTCCCATCATCATTCATTTGGGTGTTTTTTGATCAAATTATTTACTACTGGGTGGGCCTTATCCAATGGCTTTGGTACCAAAATAGAAGTGTATTATTGCAAATGTTTTACTAGCATTATCATGTGAAGACAATAAAATAACTGATAACAGAGCTCCAGGCAAATTGTTAAATAGATGTGTTTTATTCTATTATCTTTCAAAGGATTGGTCATTTTGCCCAGACATGTTTGTGATACACACCTCTGCTTTTCAGATCACTGTTACTTCCTGATTTAGTATTACTGCTTCCCAGGTCACCTCCTGTTTCCTGGATAGTGCTGATTCACTGTTCAATGACAAGTTTGTATGCAACACAGGAATCTGAATATGTAAGATGAGTTGCTTAATCGGGAACTATGGGCTAATTCAGGCCTCATGCACACTGGGCTTAAAGTAGAACTATAAGCAGTTTTTTTTTCCATTTTGGATAGAACAAGGGAGGTTAATAACCCCTGTCAGATTTGTTTGCCTATTGTGGCCCATTGCAGAGATTTCCCCACAGTTCCTGTTCCATAGCCAAATCAGGAAGTCAGAGGAAATCCCTGAAAATTAAGAGAATTCCTTGCGGACCCCCAGGTAACTAGAACTAGCGTCCCCATTGGAAGATTTTCCCTCAATTGCTTCTTCTGGGAATAACCCAAAATTTGGGATTTTCTTTTACCTTCACTTTCAATGATAATGGTAAACAACAAATAGAGAGGTTGAATCTCCTTAACGGGGGCACAGACCTTAAAAAAAAGCTGGCAGGGGTTGTAATCTTTCTGTACTCTATCCAAAATGAAAAAAACTTTTGCCTTTAGTTAAACTATAATTAACACCACTTTCACAGGTATTTGGGTTTTTTTTTTTTCAACCTGTAAAAGCACCACTACTTAAAGCGGAGCTCCACCCAAAAGGGGAAGTTCCACTTAAGGACTCCTCCCCCGCTCCCCATTAAGGATTGGCACCTTTGGGGGGGGGGGAGCTGGTAACCGAATTTGACAGGTACCTGCTCCCACTTCCGGTCCTATCGCCTAGGTGATCGGAAACGGAAGGTGTCCTCCCTCCCTCCCTGTAGTCTTTTGGGACGCGTGACAGGTCCCAGAAGACTATGGGACCATTCATGAAGTGCAGCGCTACTCGCGCATGCACAGTGGGCACCTGGCTGTGAAGCCACAAACTATCACAGCCGGGTGCCCACACTGAAGATGCCGGCCTCCTGGAATACAGGACGGCCGGTGAAACGGGCTGCGGGGGACACACAACGGGACCAAGGGACAGGTGAGTGGCTGTTTTTTAAAAGTCAGCAGCTACAGTTTTTGTAGCTGCTGACTTTTATTTTTTTGACAGGGTGAGTGGAACTCCGCTTTAAGCCTGTGTGTCCATGCACACACATGTTTACAGGCTGAAAAAAAAACACCAAAGGCACATTCAGGAGAAGAGCTGAAGAGCAGAAAAAATGCTGAATGCACCTAAATGCCCCAAAACATTAGACACGTCTAGCACTTGAGCATCAATGCATTCCAGTAGCCAGTATAAATTAATATTTTAGCCTGGGAATCCATTAACACTCAAATGCTTGATGCGCCTAAACGCATGTGAAATACACAGCTTTTATCATGGTTTTTAAGCAGCTCTGCTACTGCCAGGGGTTCTGGAGTTCAGAGAGGCTAAATAGACACCGTGTGTGCCTGAGACCTTAGACTTCCATTTGGGGGGGTAGAAAAACACACGGGTGGGCTACAGTATACATAAAGGTGGAGTTATGCTTTAATTATATAAGGTATCTGTTTGCAAGATTTGGAGATGCATGGAATAGAAATGACAGAGGATCAACATTACCATATTGGGAAAAACTGCAATCTATCCATTTCTCGAAGAGGCTGCTAGAGAATCCCAGCGCATGAAGGATCTCATGCAGAGACACCTAATGTGGGATACACAGCAAGATTTAGCTGCAAGCATAGGACATAGAAGACAAACGCATAAAACAGTAAAACCGAAAAAAGCTGTCACATATACCAGTAATTATCCTGCTTATTTTTTATGTGATAAACGTATTACATTTTGCTTTGAAGTGCCTTTAGTGAGGAACGCCAGACTAATTAAAAAGCAGCATAGCATTTTGAAGTGAGCAACAGTTGAAATTACTTAATACAATCAGTTAATATATTACCTACTTTCCTTCTAATTGGAAAACAGCTACAATACAACCCCCCATCCCCCATCGCCTGTGCATCATGCTGATTGAAGGCACAGCTCATGTAGGATCATGGAAGCTTAACTTTTTTTTTTTACCTGGTTTAGTCCTGCTTAGCCCTGACTTGTTGTCGAAGAAAGCAAGTCATTCACAGGAACTACAATTTAAAGAGTATATCCAGGCAAAAAAAAGGAAAAAAAACATTCAGTACATCTCTGCAATGCACACACATTTCCCTGTGTTTTTCCCTGTGTGAAAAAGCTTCAAATAGTTAAAAATAACTATTGATCTGCCAGAAATTAAAGTAGTTGTAAAGGTAAAAGGTTTTTCTACCCTAAAGCAGGGGTGGGCAACTCTGGCCCTCCAGCTGTTGGTGAACTACAAGTCCCATCATGCCTCTGCCTTTGGGAGTCATGCTTGTAACTGTCAGTTTTGCAATGCCTCATGGGACTTGTAGTTCTTCAACAGCTGGAGGGCCACAGTTGCCCACCTCCGTCCTAAAGCATTCTCTGCATTAAGATAAAAAGAACTATTGTCAGCCCACTCTAGCCACCCACCAAATACTTACCTGAGCCTGATCTTGATCCAGCACTGTGCGCTTGAGACGTGGCGCTGCTCTCTCTCCTCACTGGGCTCAGAGAGCAGTGGGAACCATTGGCTCCTGCTGCTATATCAATCAATTCCAGTGATGAGGGAATGGATGCATGGCCAAGCCACACTGGACACACAGAATAGCTCGGGATCAAGCCTGCATGAGTGCCACCATAGGAAGCACCTGCCTATTGTGCCACACAGAGAAGATGAGGAGCAGGGAGCACCGGTGGAAGACCCCAGAAGAGGAGAATCAGGGCTGTTTCATGCAAAACCATTGCACAGAGTAGGTAAGTATGACATGTTTGTTATTTAACAAATAAAAAAGGTAACTTTACAATCATTTTAATTAAACTCCTAATTTCCCATATTAAACTGGTAACACAGTGACTCCCATTATGCTGTGGAAATGAGAGTAGGGGAATGTGCTCTGTAGGCCAACAGGGAAGAACTCAGGTAAGGCTGACAACATTTCATGGGATTTTAGTGCCACATCAGCACCATGTTTTCAGCTCAAACAGGAAATAAAAAGCTCAATGGATTTCTGGCAGATTAAGTATCTTTCTGTAATTGCGTCTTTAAAAAAGGGAATGAACTTGTGAAAATGATCATGTAATATGTACTGAATTGGCTTTTCCTTTATTTTGTCCGGGCCATTTAAGTATCTGTGCTTGGCAGTTGCAGACATAAAAGAAGCTTTGTCTGGGGTTATGTGGACATTTAAAGCCTAAAGCCTGCCATAGACGGTTCGAATCTCGGCCAGTTCAGCAGGAACCGGCTGAGATTCAGACCATGTATGGGCAGTCTGAATGTACCCAAGTTGATTGATCAACTTGGGTACAACCAGCTTGTCGGATTTGATGTGATTATTGCTAGCTATAGCCGCTAGCAGTAATCATTATGTTCTCTGGGCAGGGACGGCTCCCCCTGCCTCACTGCTGGGAGAACACAATGGCTCTGTGAGAGGGATTCCCCCATCAACACTGATTGTGTTGATGGGGGAATCAAGCGATTTTCTTTCCCGCAACCACAGGTGCAGCAACCAAAATTGCTCCATCTTATGGCCAGCTTTAGTTTACCTACTAAAAAAAATATACAAAACAAGCACAAGGATCATTAATTACCTTCAATGTGATGTGTCCCTTGTGCTTCCGTCTTCTAGTACTGTAGAAATCTTTAATCCTATGATGATCCCTCCTACCCCAACCACCATAATCTTGCAATGTAAGTCTAACAGAACTGTAGAGCTCTCAATTACACTTATCAAGGGTGCCCTGCTATGTCCATCCAACTTCTCTGTTCATAGAAGTGCTTACTGCAGCTTCTATGAATGAAATAGGATCTAAATGGATGGCAGATGATTGAACGGTCCACCTGCTCCACTCATAGATCCTCTCTCATTCACAGAAACTGTAGTATGGCTTCTATTAATGGAGGAGCTGGGCAGAAATGGCAGACATAGTCAAGCACTCCAACAGAGGAGGAAGATTTCTACTGTACTAGAAGACAGAAGGACAAGGGAAACATCACACTGAAGGTAAGTAATGTCCCTTGTACTTATTTTGTATTTTCTTTTGTATGTAAACTTAGACTTTAAGAAACAAACTGGAAATTTACTGAAAACTTTTTGAAAGTGGTGGGCTTTAGCTGCCATACCTGTACAATGTGAGGATGCTCATATAATCCCTCTCGAAATCGCTTTGGGCAGAACACAATGACACCAGCAATAGGACGACCTATATGGTCCAGCTGACAGTATGATGCATAAGCAATAACTATAGGCTGAAAGACACAACAAAAAAATTACAGGATTCACTACAAACTAGAATTTATATCAAGTAAGAGGTCCATTAATGTATCTGATTTACAAAACAGGGTTAAACTAAGTTTTCACAATGTGCCATTTTAAAATTGGCAACAGAACAGAATTAGGTTTTACACAAGCCAAACTGATCAGACCTGTGCCGAGGCAGTAAATACAAATGCACTCTAGAGGGAGCTAAATAAGATGTTCTGTAATCAGCAAGGATGCATTGGCTTTTTTCTATAACATCATTTAGATGGCGATGGGAATTGGTTGGTTTGTGTTACTGCACTTGATGGTCTGTGAGTCCCTAAGCCACTATAATTATTTGCCATCTTATTAGTGCAAACTTGTTTATGACTACCAGTGACTTAGTGCAAGTTACTAGATTTTTTATTATCTCTCATCCGAAATATGTTCTACTAATGTGTACTTAAACATACTGTATTTGTTGTAGTTTATTCAGTAGATTATAAGTAATAGGTTTGAAAAAATATAAATTGTGATTATGAGACCCAAATCTGACCTTTTTGTAAAACAATGCCAATGACATCTATGTAACATGATTTAAAAGTCAGTCCAGCCATATGCCGAAGAGTGTAATATTCCAACAGTTTTTTACAGCTCTGATTGTTTCTGGTGACTACACAAGAATCACAGGTCTGCATACCTGCCAGGTCCAGTTAAAATGTTGTATAAAATGATTTATCTCTTGTAATTTGAAAACAGAAATAAGGCAGGCTTTCTGGAAATCCATGCAAAGGATGAAGCAACTACATGAGGTTCTCCACCAGGAATATGGCACTCACAAGGGCATAGATAAGGGGGGTATAAGGGGGTCAAATTCCCACCCCCCTTTTCCAGAGCATCAGTGGTGCAGCAGCTAATGCTGAAAGTTGCTGTGCAACCAAAGCACTGCAACCGCTGATCCTGCTGCCTGGCGCCTGCAGTTCAGCTGTATGGTTTGGCTGGTGAGTGTATTTCATGGAGGGGAGACTGTATCGGAGGGCATCTGAACTGGGGGAGCTGTAATAGGAAAGCCCATACTAAAGGGGGGATCCGTACTGCAGGGAAGGTCTGTACTGGGGGGGGATTTTGGATACGTACTAGTGTAACACTTCTGACCCTGGCACTCTGTTCATTACACATCCCTGACTGCCGCTCTGTGCCTTACACACTCCTGATCCTTGCCTGAACTCTGTGCACTATGCACTCCTGACCCCAGCATTTCTTACCTTTAATGCACATTTTTCTGTCTGGGCCACCCTCACATACAGCAAGAAATCTGTATCAGGAACACCAGACCCATCTGGTATTTTAAGAATTGGCTGTGTCCCATTCATTGGCCACACTTCGTATCCATAGAGATGAGATTCCGGTATCTAGAAACACATATATTAACACATTAGTTTTAACATTCCAGCTGATAGTATCAGTGCTATTAACACTTCAACGCTCATACCAAGACATCTAGACATCTTTCTCCATAGTAAGAGCTGTCTCGAGATCCACACCTGGGGAAGAAACATACACAATCAAAAATAGTACACATTGAATAAGACATTCTAGTTATCAGGTTTATTATTTGTATAAAAATAATGTTGAATTGTTGCCTATTAGAACAGATTATATGTCAAGTGTTATTAGTCTAGCTCTAGATCAAAGTACGAAACAAAAGGAAATATCAGGTTTCTACAGGAAACACCACATTTTTGCTGCAGTTTTTCTACTGCATATCCAATGCGTAGCTTTACTTATTATTGGATTATGTGAATCATCATTATTAAAGTTTTAGGTGCAGTAAAATGGCAGTTGAATACAATTTCCTTGTATACACACATGCTGAAAGTACAAAATTTATGTGTACAATTAGAGCCATATTTTCATCTCTGGAGCCTGTAGGCACAAACAGCATTTGGCGCTTCTTCTGCTTGCATCACTTAAAACAGTTACCCTTTTTTCTAGTTCTAGCTTTGCTTAAAATGTGATAATAATGTTTATGTAAACTTATACGAGATGACTATTTAAAGTGGTTCTAAAGGCAGAGAGGTTTTACCTTAATGCATTCTCTGCATTACAGTTAAAAACCTTCTGCATGCAGCTCCCCCCAGCCCCCCTTGTACTTACAATGCTTGAGCCTGATCTCGATCCAGCGATGTGGACAAGAGCAGTGGTTTCTCTCGACTTTCTCCCTCCTCATTCACTCACTCAGAGGCAGCAGTGGGGGCCATTGGCTCCTGCTGCTGTCAATTACAGCTAGTGGGAAGGTTGAGGGGGCGAGGCTGAGCTGTGTGTCAATGGACACACAGAGCGGGGCTCAGGAACGAGCAGGCACGAATGCCATCATAGCAAGCAGGGAGAGAACCCAGGAGCGCAGCTTAGTCCCCTTGAAGAGTCCCCTTCAAAACCATTGCACAGAGGAGGTAAGTATACCATGTTTGTTATTTTTGAGCATTTACAATCACTTTAAAAAATGTATTGTCAATAATGATATGTGGAAAATATGACTCCTTGCCTCTAACACCTATGGCCACATGTGTGCTTTGGCTACTGATAAACTGGGCCCTGTGTGTAGTTTTTATGTTTATACAGGTGTACCTCGGTTTACAAACGCCTCGATTAACGTAATTTTTGGTTTACGAATGAAAATCCATTGAAAATAATGCTTTGGTTTATTAAATTTTTACGAATATTTTTCGCAATACGAAGTGTTTGTTAGTGCCGATTTTTAAATGCAGTTGGCAGCTGCTTTTTTTTTCTTCACTATAGCTCACAGAATTAGCTGTCACTTTCTCCGGAGTTAAAGTAAACTATGTTTCTTTTAAGAAACTAAAAGGAAACATTGTTTCTTTTAACTTGGGGAAATAAACTAAAAGGAAACTTTCTTTCTTTTAGCAAGGGGGAAAGTGACAGCTGAATCTCTGAGCTATAGTGAAGGAAAAAAAAAAGCGGTAATTACTTTTAAAAACCAGCACCATAATAAATAAAAAAAATGGTGTGGGGTCCCCCCTCCCATCCATATCAAGCCCTTCAGGGTTTTGAGGGGAACTCCCACACCAAAATAAAAAAAAATGGCATGGGGTCCCCCCCAAAGCACCTCATCCCTGTGTTG